TTCAAATTTTGTTCTTCTCATATTTTCATGTGGGTTGTTTTCATCGTGTTTACATCAGGTTGGCACATAATGCACCATGTTTTGTTAGAAAGAGTGTGTTTGAGCTTTGATTTTTATATCTACACTCTTGCTCAACCAGTTTTCAATAAATTTACATAATTCTTTCTTAGGACACTGATAAAGAAGAGTGAAGCTGGGCATCCTTGAAGTCATGGAGGACGACCTCTCACAGAGAACTAAGAGATGACTAAACTTCTGCATCATCCTGGAGGAAACTGTGGTAATGGAGGGCCATCTGACTTTCCCACTGCTTTAATGGTACTCTTTGGACTTCTCTATGTGCTGATTATTGACTTTCCAAAAGGACTAAAATACACATTTGAGTGTTTTGCAGATAGGTGCACTTCTATTTTAAAGACCATCCTTCATATTTTGAAAGTTTGTGTTCCTTGTGTACATGCTACTGTTTAGTCATGTTTCATATTTAGTGGCATAGTTTTGTAAAACTATTTTAACTGCAGTGTTTAATGGCACTGTTGCAGTGTTGAATCACTTTGGCTTAAATATTTATGAATTTAAAAAGCATGGAATTACAGGATTTTTATATTATGATGATAGCAGTTCTATCTATGTATTGATGCAGGTTTTGGCAGGTTAGTGCAATATATTAAATTTTGTTTCATGTTAGCAATATTTAAAGGGAGAGTTTACCCAAAAATGAAACTTTTCATTTACCCAAAACTTGAAACTTTGAGCCTTGCTCAAGGGTATTGGAAGAGAACACTGGTTATTCACTCCCCCACCTACAATCCCTGCCAGTACCGAGACTCGAACCTCCGACCTTTGGGTTATAAGTCCAACTCTCTAACCATTAGGCAATTAATTTTTTGGCAGTTTAGACTTGTCCTCCTCAATGTCTATGGTGGTTACAGCTCTGACTTTAAGATAAATTTATTGTAATGATGGGTATACTTGCCTGTTTAATTGCCTTAAACAGGCAATGTTTGAAAACATTGTCTTAAAAAATTGCTCTTTTGAATACAAGTTTTATTAATATTGTGTCAGTGTTTTCAGTTTCTGACTTAGACACTGTTATTGCAGTTTTCAGTTGTAACATATTATTTCTTAGTACCAATTTCCAGTAGCATTTTTTTGTTCAGTCAACTTCAGGTATTTGAGTTCTACAGACAAAAAATGTTGAGTTGGCACAACTTAAAAAGGTTTGTTATAGAATCGTTGCACATCTCTAGAAAACTAACAATCTTGAGTTAACTCAACTAAACATTTTTTGTATGACTGACAGCTTCTTTTCAGTCAGTATAACTGCCTAGGGCTGCACGATAAATCGCATGCGATATTTAATGCGCATCTTGTCAGAAAGCCGGTTCTTTAATCAGCGGCAAATCTCCATCACCTGCGTGCTTTCACATTGAGCAGCATTAACTACACAGAGCCTTGTTCACTGACGAGCTGCGCAAAACCACGTTAATATTCGCGACTATTATATATATATATTGATATTATTTTTGCGCAGCTCGTCAGTGAACAAGGCTCTGTGTAGTTAATGCTGCTCAATGTGAAAGCCCGCAGGTGATGGAGATTTACCGCTGATTACAGAACCGGCTTTACTGATAAGATGCGCGTTAAATATCGCATGCGATTTATCGTGCAGCCCTAGCCTGAACCCTGATTCTGTCTGCACTTTCAATAAACCAGGTGGGTTAAAAACTCAACTACTTGGGGTCCACATAAATTCTGATAAAACATTACATTTACACTACATTTAACTGTGACCTGTGTGATTTTCACAATGTTTGTAGTTTGGAAAACTTAAAGACAATTTTCTGTATTTTTTTTTCTTTTATGTGTTTTGAATTCCGCATTGGAGGTAGTGTTTTAGGGTTGAAGGAAATGTCTGTAAATTTAATGGAAAATGCCAAGACGTTATCTGTTTTTCTGTGTTTTGTGTTTTATTCTTACAGTGCACAAACAAAACTTTGTTGTTGAACAAGTTGAGTTTGTATTCAGTGGACAAAAAAAAAAAGAAAGTGAAATGAGAATTATCCTGAACCATTTTAACGAGCCAGTATAATTCCTATGGTTATGAATCCCTTTGAAAGTAGCGGCTATACACTTTCATTGACAGTTATTTTGTCTACTTGAGTCCCCATGGTGTTTTTATTCTTATAAATTAATGACTTTTTTGTCCCAGCATTACAATTTTTCAAGATTTTTACAGTCAGTTTTTGTGAATTTGTTGCCCCAAGCACTCCTCCATTTCTGACTCTTTGTCCATCCCTAATACATTTTCAGTATTTTTAACACTCAATTATGATCTGTAAGGAATCATACAGAAGTAAATAATATTTTTTTTCCCCCCTCCTACAGACAACAGACACCCCATCACAGACACAACATGGCTCTATGGGGACTCCCGTTTTACCTCAGGGAACCAAATCTCCAAGATTTATTTGGTAGGTTTTCAAATTTTGTTCTTCTCATATTTTCATGTGGGTTGTTTTCATCAAGTGTTTACATCAGGTTAGCACATAATGCACCATGTTTTGTTAGAAAGAGTGTATTTGAGCTTTGATTTTTATATCTACACTCTTGCTCAACCAGTTTTCAATAAATTTACATAATTCTTTCTTAGGACACTGATAAAGAGGAGTGAAACTGGGCATCCTTGAAGTCATGGAGGATGACCTCTCACAGAGAACTAAGAGATGACTTGCATCATGCATCATCCTGGAGGAAACTGTGGTAATGGAGGGCCATCTGACTTTCCCACTGCTTTAATTTTGGACTTCGGACTTCTCTATGTGCTGATTATTGACTTTCCAAAAGGACTAAAATACACATTTGAGTGTTTTGCAGATAGGTGCACTTCTATTTTAAAGACCATCCTTCATATTTTGAAAGTTTGTGTTCCTCATGTACATGCTACTGTTTAGTCATGTTTCATATTTAGTGGCATAGTTTTGTAAAACTGTTTTAACTGCAGTGTTTAATTTCACTGTTGCAGTGTTGAATCACTTTGGCTTAAATATTTGTGAATTTAAAAAGCATGGAATTACAGGATTTTTATATTATGATGATAGCAGTTCTATCTATGTATTGATGCAGGTTTTGGCAGGTTAGTGCAATATATTAAATTTTGTTTCATGTTAGCAATATTTAAAGGGAGAGTTTACCCAAAAATGAAACTTTTCATTTACCCAAAACTTGAAACTTTGAGCCTTGCTCAAGGGTATTGGAAGAGAACACTGGTTATTCACTCCCCCACCTACAATCCCTGCCAGTACCGAGACTCGAACCTCCGACCTTTGGGTTATAAGTCCAACTCTCTAACCATTAGGCAATTAATTTTTTGGCAGTTTAGACTTGTCCTCCTCAATGTCTATGGTGGTTACAGCTCTGACTTTAAGAGAAATTTATTGTAATGATGGGTATACTTGCCTGTTTAATTGCCTTAAACAGGCAATGTTTGAAAACATTGTCTTAAAAAATTGCTCTTTTGAATACAAGTTTTATTAATATTGTGTCAGTGTTTTCAGTTTCTGACTTAGACACTGTTATTGCAGTTTTCAGTTGTAACATATTATTTCTTAGTACCAATTTCCAGTAGCATTTTTTTTGTTCAGTCAACTTCAGGTATTTGAGTTCTACAGACAAAATGTTGAGTTGGCACAACTTAAAAAGGTTTGTTATAGAATCGTTGCACATCTCTAGAAAACTAACAATCTTGAGTTAACTCAACTAAACATTTTTTGTATGACTGACGCTTCTTTTCAGTCAGTATAACTGCTTTTTTACAAAAGTTGAGTGAACAAGAAAAAGCTAGGGGAAATTAGTACTAAGATTTTTTTTGTTGTGCTGGCTTAAATTTTTTTACAGTGTGGAGGACGGCATATTCCTGCATATTTCTTGGAGAAATCTTATTAAAGCCTAAATGTATTTAGACGGTATCCAATGGATTTTGAATAAAATGTAGCATCCCATTCTTTGACAGCCATATAAACATAACCTGTGCTATTGTAGCTATACATTCGCTGCAATATACAGTATATAGTCAACTTGCTGACAATTCTGGAGTTTCAGTCAAATAAATTGTTTTCGTAGGGTAAAATACATACAACATGCATCAAATGGTTATTTATACATAAATATATATGACTGTAACAGCATGAGACAGCAATCTAGATGATGAAATGAATAAAACTTATACAAAAGTCACTACTGCAATAGTTCTCTCTTCCACCATGTTTAATGTTTATGGCCTGATCAACTCAGAAACTTGGGAATCAAAATTCACATCCGATTTCTGACTAGGAAACTTGTATTTACAATCATTCTGATGAAGGCAGAATTCAAATTATGAATATATATTATGATAGGCACTAGTTACTATGCTATATTTACTTATCCAAACAACCCAAACAGTCACAATGATGTTCTGCTAATGCTAGAGGCCAGCTAAGGGTGTTTTCTTTTTTTGTTTTTACTTCCAGAAGTACTTCTATAAAAGTACTACAGACTGTAAGAAATACAACTTAAAATGTGTTAGTTATAATTTAATTATTTACACAACAGCAAGACAATGAACTGGATTGACAAAAAGCTAAAGTTAGCCATTAGCTATTAAGACATATATGATAGGGTATGAAAAATACAATAATATTCTATAATTTTGATTCAAAAAAGCCAATTCTCTTTGATATTCTAGTCTCTAGATTTGGGTCTCTGAAGTCTGTGATTTTTATTTTTTTATTTTTTTATCGCCAACTAGGTGAAAATCTGTGATTCTTCAATTATATTAGGTAATGAGATTGAAGCCAAATATGTCAGGTGTTTACGTCAGGTATAAAGAAATCAATTCTGATTTTTTTATTTTTTTGTATTTTGGGTATTTGGTGGAGACACCTTCCAGCAGCTAGAAGATCAGGTGGTCTGTTGTAACTCTCTCTCTCTCACACACACACAACACACACACACACACACACACACACACACACACACACACACACACAATGGCCTAATTCCATAAGTGTTATTGCACACTAACCCTAATGTCATTCCCAGATTACCTCTTCAGGGTATGAAGCAGGGTTTATCCTGATGGCCTGCTATTTTGTCTGTAATTAATTGTAGCAGCACCTTGGGGGGATTCCATTAAAACACTTTTATATAGCACTGTGTGTTAAAATGATTACCTGCAGTTCAGAGTCGAGCTAATCAACACACAATCTTTACGATGTACATGCAACCGCTAAATTGATATTATAATATGCTTTTGACTTAAATATGAGAAATCACACCCACTAATTTGATTGACCTCACTCAAGCTCAGGGTTTCAACCAAATGCAATAAGCCTTTTGCATATTGAAACACCTACTTCATGCCATCCTTATTCCTCAAAAGATGATTTACGCAGGCTGGAATTAAAGACAATTATGTTATTGTCTTCAAGGAAGCATTTGCATATCAATCATAAATATGCCGCCATATGCACACAGAGTACAGCATTCCACATTTTATTCTTCAATTTACTTAGAGCCCATTTAAAACAAGTATGTTTAATACATTTAAAGGAACAGTTCATCCTAAATTAGAATTTGCTGAATATTTACTCACCCTCAGGCCATATAAGATATAGAGGAGTTTGTTTCGTCATCAGATTTGGAGAAATGTAGCAGTGCATCACTTGCTCAGCAATGGATCCTCTGCAGTGAATGGGTGCCGTCAGAATGAGAGTCCAAACAGCTGATAAAAACATCACAATAATCCACAAACCACTCCAGCCCATCAATTAACATCACGAGAAGCAAAAAGCTGCATGTTTGTTAGAAATAAATCCATCATTAAGATGTTTTTAACTTCAAGCTGTTGCCAAAGGTTGCGGGTTCGAGTCTTGTACCGGCAGGGATTGTAGGCGTGGGGAGTGAATGTACAGCTCTCTCTCCCACTTTAAATACCACGACTGAGGTGCCCTTGAGCAAGGCACCGAACTCCCAACTGCTCCCTGGGCGCCGCAGCATAAATGGCTGCCCACTGCTCCGGGTGTGTGTTCGCGGTGTGTTCACTGCTGTGTGTGTGCACTTTGGATGGGATAAATGCAGAGCACTAATTCCGAGTATGGATCACTATACTTGGCCACATGTCACTTCACTTTCACTTTCTGGCTAAAATACGACTTTTTCCTCCAGTGTAAAAGTCCATCTCCTGTTGTCTCTCACATCAAAATCCACCCACATATTTGTTCATAACTGTTTTAGACTGTTTTGGTTTGTAAACGGTGCTTGATCTGTGCAGATTTCTCTCCTCCTCTGTGGATTATTGTGATGTTTTTATCAGCTGTTTGGACTCATTCTGACGACACCCATTCACTACAGAGGATCCATTGCTGAACAAGTGATGTAGTGCTACATTTCTCTAAATCTGTTTCCATGAAGAATCAAACTCTTCTATATCTTATATGGCCTGAGGGTGAGTAAATATTCAGCCAGTTTTCATTTTTGGTTGAATTATTCCTTGTGCGCTCCTCATTTGGGAGTCACACTCATGGTCTTCTCGGTCAAAAGTGACCGGACACCTGAAATTTTTTTATTTTATTTTGTATTTTGGGAGAATTTTATGGTAATAATTAATATTTATGCAATAATTATTATCAATTTTTCCTATTGAAAATAGTACAAATAATTTTTTCTCTATTTTTGTTTTATTGTTTTTTCAATCAATGCAGTATCTCTGATTAAAATAGAGACTAGGCCTTTAAAATTATTAATTTTTTTTGAAGGCAGAATAGCACCTCCTGGTGAGAGCAAAGAAAGAAAAACATGTAATTTCATGGATGCCTGTATAGGAATCTATAGAGAGGCTTTTGAATTCCCTAGTTGTTTTTATACATAATTGCTTACTTTTATTAGGTTGTGGTTTTAAATGTATTTTAAGGCATTCTCAAAGACTACGTTTTGTCAAAGTTTATATTTTTTTGTTGTTTTAAATGTTGATTTGAAGCGTCAGTTTTTGAATTATTATTACTACAGTCAAACCTGAATACAGAAAGCATTTTTTTATACAAAACATTGTGAAGAGCAGACAAAAGCACGCACATCAATCTCAACTGGGTGCTCAACCAAGAAACAAGTGAAAAATTTTTGGATGTAAAGTCGGCAACACCAAAGCTCCAAAAGTATCAAAAAATGTATTTAAAAAAAAAAAACTGTCGCATAGCATATGTGATGTTTCGAGCACGCAGGCTCTTCATCAGACCATGTCTGATGAAAAGTTATACAAAACATTAAAATTCAATAAAAATGTAAACAAAAATAAACAGGAATGCTTTATCAGAGCTTAATCCTTCTGGGCCTGATCTGATTTTAACCTCTTATTTCAGTTTTCTGACTCATTTTGGCTATATGGTCATAGCCATACCAATTCATTTGAGTGTGTATAATTGTGTGTGTGTGTCTGTGAGTGTGTGTGAGTGGGTGTGTTGATTTTGCACTCTAGATGTTTTAGAGTTTCACCCCTTCATTGCTGTGCAATTTTTTTCTGCATCGTGGGGGATTTGTAGAATGTGCTCACAAAAATGTTCCGTATTTTCAATTATTTTGCCATTTCCCATTGATTTCCTATGGACCATGAGTGTGTCTATTTTTTTTTTACGACAACTTAGCTTTTTCGAATCATGCCCTCAATTGTTTTGTTTATTCACATACCAAGTGC